AAAACATAAAACAACTACCACAGTTGACAAGAATAAAATTAAAAATGTACGTGCATGACACCGCAGTTTTAGTAGTTTCGTAGGGTAAGTGAATAATTTAAACCACAATCTCCCATGGTTTCTCTGATAGCTGAAAGCATCCAAATTAATTTCAACATTGATCAAGAATGTTGAGAAACTCTTTCAACTTTCAATTAAATGGATTATTTTTTGTCAAGTTCACTTACAAGCTTGCTGCTCTTCTGCAAGATAAACTCAACAATAATCATGATTATTTTAAGTCATTATTTGCAACAGCACTTCATTTCATTTTAATCAATGAGTTTTTCTTGTCAATTCAATGACCTATTTAATTGAGAATCATTGAGAACATCATTATCAGGCTCACAAAACACCTCAGTCACCTGCATGTACAGAATGCTCCATTGTGAAACTGAATGTGTGCATAAATATAAAGCTATTGGAGACAATAGTCACCCAGCTTGTGAAATCTCAAGTTTACACAGCACTTAATTGACAACTGAGTATGTCACTAGTCAAGCTCATGAAGATTATTATCATAATCACTATATGCCTCATAGTTACGACTAAACTTTTTTCAACTTCAATTCAACATTCATGGTCATATTTAACAAATATATATTTTATTCACTGACAGTCACTACTTCATGTATAATTCATTTCATAATTTAAATAATAAACACAAGATTCCAGCCTTCATCATCCGCTTTAAAAGAATGATGAACTCAATCAAGATCAACTATTCGCTCTGTATTTTCTTTCATGAGCTTACACATAACTCAGCCAATACCAATAAACAGTTCATACTTCAGACCAATGAAAATCTTATTACAAAATTCATCACGACCACTGCCAATTTCTTCCACATTCACTTAAGCTCGTATCACTGCTAAATAAATTAATAATTTCATCTTTCTCTCCCAAGAACAGTTAAAAAAAGTCAATTAGTTTTGTAGAAAATACTACACTATGTGATGAAAAATACAAGTGAAAATTTACCATACACCACAAAATCCTCATCACCCAACCATTTCAAGCACACAATATTAAAAAAATAAACAAAAAATAACAAGTGACAAAGCTGTTAACTAAAAAAAGACAACAAAAATACACAAAAATTAATATCCTAACAACCTAGTTAATTCACAAGTGACTTTATCTTTTACAAAAATACTGATTTCTTTCTTTTTTAGTCACTCATGTAATCACAGTCTCATTGTGGCCCTTTCCTTGTCTACACATCAACGCTAGAGTTAGAATTCAAATTCTCAAGAATTACTTTAAAAGCCTTCACAATAACCCTAACATCCTCTCATCCATTAACTATCATACATCCCATTCTATTTTCTCTATACAATCAACAATCAGATATTATCAACTTGCACAAATGTTTCTAAAACAATTGAAACGTAGTACTGATAAATTAAATAAGTGTTTTGTATCGTTACCCATTTGTAACCTGGAATGGTAGAATCTACAAAATATTTTAAAAAACACATATCTGTTTAAACAAACTAAAACAATTTCTACAAATATCTGCAAATACACATCTGAGCATACACAAGCTCGGTCATCAAATTTCTGTGTGGTCAGGTCAAACGCATAAATACACTCAAATTTTCAAAACTGTATTAATTGTTTTCTAAGAACTTAACAAGTGTCAGATTTATTAACATTTTCCCCAATACTTATCAAGCTCTTGTATTTTTATAGTGCTGTGAAGATGTTTTAAATTATCTGGGCTTTTAACACACATACACATACTAAGGAAATGTAGCATCATAAATGACAAGCCACAAACAGGCAAATATATTTATATAAATATATTAAAAAACAGATTAGTTACAATTAGCTTCCTATAATAAAAACAAAGTGCTGTGGCAGAGGAAGAAATAATGACCTCTTACTAGAGGACAAAATTTATTCAAATATCTTAATATTGCCTTAGTCATACATTACTTGTCTTCCGCTTCAGACTCATAATTTTCCCACTCGGAAACATCTGTTAGGCCATTCTACGTTCAAAACTATTTTGAACATGTGTTAAGAGAAATGAAATGTTACAACAGGATCAGAAAACTGCAACTAATAAACAATTAAAAATATGGCAAGCAAGTCACAATCTAGTTCATATCAAACATGATACAACAAATTCTCATCAACAATTCTAACAAGCAAAAGGTGATGGCACAAGGTTACTTTGTTCTGAAAGTTCCAGCTGCCCATAAGAACAGACTAGCAAGTGCTACACCACACAAAAATTCTATACAACTAATAACAAGTAGCCCAAACACTTCACAACTGGCATTTATAACACCAAAATCTGAAAGTCAAAGTGTTTGTATAATTTGATAACAGAAAACTATTTACAAAACATGTTTTCCCCAAACACTTCCTTGTAAATAACTTACATAGCACATTGATAACAAGGTAGGCAATTATAAATCTTTCGTAGCATTTAAAGTAACACTTCTAAAAATATCCATGTGCTGTTTGAAACAGGCAATCCACTCTGCCTTGTGAAAACATATGACAATAAGAATAATATAATTTATCATGTTAAAAATTACATTTTTATGATGATGATGATGATGATGATGATAATAATAATAATAATAATAATGCTAATACAAAGAAAACAATCACATTTAACAATGTTACTTAAATGAAACCAAATGATTTGGGGGAACAAACAACACCTTTTAACTTTCTGATGGCAATGTCTGATAAGGTCTAAATACAAACTCTAGTATTTGCTTCTTAACAGTGTATATACAAATTGTTATCAAACACAATAATCACATTTCCTTCCCCATCCACCAAAGCAGATAGGTATTATACCACAAAAAAGTTTAATCCATCACAATTGATTTAATCAATCATTACAACTTTTTAAGCAACAAATCATCATTCAGTTTGCTATTAGACCACACATTTGTACTTGAAGGTGTTTGAAAAACCTACAAAAAATTAAGATTCAAAATGAATTCTCACAAGAAGAACCAAAACGTAACTCTGTTCAGCACCATTTCTCATTCTATACTGTACAAGAATATTATCTACGTGCACAGGTACGCATGATTAATGAAATTAAACAATTTAAAAAGCCACCAGAAGAACAGTATTCATAACTTTAATACTTCACAGATTTTATTTTTAAATGAGCTCAAAAAATATTGGACAAAACTTTACACATTAGGTTTTTAAAACCAAAATTCTAGTACTCCAACAATTATGATAAATGGATGTTTACAACTTTCCTTTTCGAGGAAGAAGTATAAGAAAAGCTAGTTGGCTTAGTTTCATGTTTTAGAACATAAAACCAAAACGAATCAGACGACATCAGGTACTTTTGCAGGCAATTGCATTTGAAGGCAATTAAAATAGAAAAAAGGTAATAAGCAAAAAACAAAATTGCATTTTGTTTTTTTCAACCCTGTTTTTAATCTAATTTTAATATTTTCAATATATCTCTAATTAAACCATGACAAGGTTAAACATTACCTAAAATACAAAACTATTATACGAAACGTTCATTACATTTCACGTTTTAGATGGTCTTTCATGCAAAGAAATTTTAAACAATGCATTTATCTCAAAACAGTAATTCAACACAATTATTGATCTGTAATATACATAATTGAAGTTACAGAATCCTCCTTATTTCTTCCACTTGATAGCAAACCACAAATACCTAATTATATAAACAATCACTATTAAAAATTGTATTTACTCAGGAAATGTTCTTAAGAAACCATAAAATTTCATTATATTTTTGTTTCACAGAAGGTTAAAAGGACTTCAAGAAACTACAAAAAATTTCAAAAACAAACTCTCAGGAAAAAATTAAGTTGGCAGACAATTTTTGTGGTTCATTAAATGTAGATTAATTTGAAAATGCGTGGTAGCAACATGAAAAATATACAAAATACAAGATCAAGAAAACTTTGAAACTCAACTGATGTCATAGAACCATTATCACCCACTCAGTTTTATAAAGAAATTATTAAATTTCTTTGTGTTACAGATGAGCCATAATAATAATACAATAATAATTACACACATTTTTTTACCCGTAGATGACACCATTTGAAACGACATAAAAGCTATGCAAATTAAAAATAGAAGATCTGATTCCAGAGGTATTTCTGCAGAAGTACCACATAATCTCACCAAATTTTTTGTGGACTTAAAATGCAAAAGTAGTGGTATTAATCTGAACTATGTTCACAAATTGTAAAACATGTCTCAATTTCACTATCATAAGACAAAATTTTGAGAATTTACAAAAATTTATTAATGATCCTAAGTTTATTCTTTATATTAATTTGGGTACAGCTAAATTAAAGTAATAAATAATGCAGGGGATGTTAGTAGCAATTTCCTAGAAATGTAAACAAGAACTTGTTTCTGCCCTTTATGCTCCAAAAAGACCACTTTCATTTCTAACAGTTGGTAATTCATGCCAAAACTCATCTACTATCACTCACAGAGACTAATACTGAAGCACATGATTTATAAAACGTACAAGATAAGCGAAATCACATTGTCATTGGCAATAGTTCCTAATCAATCAATGTTTTTTGCCTGCTTTGCTGTGACACTACTTTAAATGCTGGAATTTAATCTCAAACATGAAACTCTTTAGAAACAGATCTTCTCATAACTTCCTAAAAAGGAATGAACATTGAACAGAAAAGACTATCATTTCATATAATATTTTCTAATGTCAGTGTGAACAAAGAAATGTACTGGCTCAACTTTATGATCTTGATATATGCACATTCAAAAATTAAGAGAGATTGAAAAGCTTAATATATACACACAATATTATAAATCACAGGAATCAATAATACAATATCAGGCATGCTCAGCGTTCACAAAAATGTACACCTTTTTCACAAGCAATATAATTACTATTTTTGTGCTATGTGGCTTGCCTGCCATTTAACACCACTGGACATCACTGACATTTGTAAGCACAACATATTATGCAGACCATGAAAACAACAGAGAGAGAGAGAGAGAGAGAGAGACACAGAGACAGAGATCTCTGGGCGGATGAATTGGAATGTTCGTAAAAGTAACATTTCATAGATCTCTGAATGTGTAATAACAGAATTAATTAATTCTATACATAAAGAAGATAACAGGATTCACAGCAAGCATGAACACAGGCCACAAGCAACATATTCGCAATGTAGCAATGGAAACCATTAAGCTACAACAAACTGGTAAAATATATCAGAGGGCATTGAATAGGAACAGTAGAATACATTTTGCGAGTGTAAATAAGATATAAAGTTCAGCCTTTCAACTTATTATGCTGAAGAGTCAAAATATTAATACTAAAATCGGCAGAAAATGTCAGAAATGCCCATTCATTCTTACAAACTTTGGATAATGTTTTGATAGCATTGGCTGGCAAAAACAGTTAAACACTTTAAATGTTCACAGGGCACCAAGTTGTGTACGAAATGATTCCACAGCACCAGTGTTCCCTTTATAACAATCATAGAAAGATTTGAATAATTACTTCCATAAAAAGGGAAACACATTTACGTAATGAATTTAGTTTGTGCAATTCTCACAAATAAAAATGAAGTCCAAATGGCAGCCAATAACAGGAACATTTTCTCATATGGAAACCTTTTCTCTTAATGCCCAAATTCCAATACATTCATAGACTCTCTTCACAATCAATCAAGATGCAAACAATAACATGAACAAAATTAAAATAATTAGCAATAATTACTAACATTGTTTGACACTGTCCAACACATCTTATAACTCTTCCCCAAATATAATACTGGCAAATGGACAAAACATTGTCATTTTATTATTTACTTTATGTATTGGAACATGCTAGCATTTCAAAACAATCAAGAACAAATAGCCACCATTATACAGTCAACTACTAAGAATGTAAAATTTACATAGCATGATTTGTATCTAAGTCTAAATTTTGATAAATGAATGGGCTGCAGGGCACGACTTCACAAAATTTACTCTAATTTCATTTAGGAGGGTACTAATTCCCCTCTAAATTTTATAATATTTAACAAAATATAGATACATAACCACTTTCTTTAGACCAATAATTTTAAAAATCAGATTTGTACTCTTTAAAATTGTTAGCTATAGAATAAACATTCATCAGCAATAAAAATAATTGATTTTTCTGAGGAAGAGTGTAGATTGGGTAGTATTAATAATTACAGTAGAATTACAATAGTATTTCTAGAGGCAAGTTTGTCTCTCTTTGGATCAATGGAATAATTTTAGTTGTAGAATGAGCTATCTCCACAAATGATAGAGCTAGGTCAACTTAAATGGAGCTAGAAACATTCAGTTGCTCTGAGGTTTTGGTTCCCTTTGTTTTGGCTTTTCAGTCGAGTGAATATTAGGTAGTGGTCACAATCAAATCTCAAATACAGATTCACTGCATGAACAAGAAAAATAATAAGGAAGAAATGAAAATTATTTTGGATTCTTCTCTACAGCACCTACTTTGACAGTGATGCACTGTATAATGTAAGTCTGGAATCATCACAACACACACAGACAAAAATCTAATGAGATAACAGACCATGCCCCTGACTACCTCAAAGCGGAAGAACTATATGATCTCCAGTTCATATAATGTGTTCCAGCACAAGGAAAAGTGAAGGTTTGGGAGGAGAAAGACATGGCAAGCATCATTCTTGGATCTTCACTACTACATTATTTTAGCACTTTCTGAATGATGGAGCTGAGAGCTCTCATTTAAAAAAAGTTTACTCCAATAAAAACCACAACTTTTGGAAACAAATACAACTCCAGCGAGGTCACATTTCCAACTGTAACATGAGTCTTCAATTATTAGATTTAACTGATCAAACAAGATTTTCTGTTGATATGATGTACCAATGATAATAATTAACCATGAGGAAATCTAAAGAAACTGGATTGCAAGATATTTACAGTATGCCCAAGAAATTCAAGAGTAAATGAAATGGTTGCTGAATGCTATACATTTTTATAACTTGGAAGCAATGGTTCATTTAAAAGAATGTAAGTAATACAAAGTAAATAGTTGTTTCTTTGCCCTGAATAAAATAGATTTCTTACCCACATTTCAATAAGGATTCTCTCTCTAGATTGGGGTTTCTTTACTGTATACACTATGAAAACGCAAATTGGGCTAATTATGTTGTTATGGAAATTTTAGTTAGGTTATAACGATTAGAATACATAATATTATTGTTTTAGAAAGCCTTTTAAATGAGTTGGAATTGGGGTAAAATATTTCATATTAAGGAACCTTTATATGTGATGCACTCAATTAGTGATAAATAATTTCTCTATAGTACAAAGTAATTTTTGTAGGAACATGTATAAAATTTATGTAATTAATTTAAATGAATATTTGGATAACCGGATAACAATTGCTTAAAAATGGAAAGAGAGGAGTAAAGGGTTACAATACAAACCTCAAAAATATAATTAAGAAACGAAATTGAACACTGGAAACGTCACTTGCATTCCTGAGATGATCAGTTTGCAAACTGAAAATCACAACAGTTTTAACTTTCAGTGAGCAACTCTTCTGATTACAAATGAAACTGAATATTAAATCAAAATATAATTATACTTCACTGAATTCTTTTTCATCAGTGTTGTAAAATAAAAAATGCAATGGTTTATTCAAGAAGATCAGTACATTATGTAGGCATTCCACAATCGAGTGAGCCTGTTAACAATACCAACAGTTTTCAAGAAATAAATAGTGAAAAATCGTGTGGTAGTTTGTCACTATATTAAATTATAGATTTGTTTTGATTTATTTTCATCAAAGAAGAGTAAAAACTATACGGGACTTCTGGGGGACAAGCATAATCTGCACTTTTTTTTAGCTTCAGAATGTGTTCCTCACAGTTTTACTTCACAGAGTACAATGATGAACAAAAGTACAAATAAAGTGAAGTAAGAAGCATAGAAAAACTAGACTTTTATGTTCAATGGTAAACAAACTACCAATCTGTTAGTACAATTTTTAAAATTTTGCTTTTAAAATAACAACCCACACCCCTGGCTCTACTCCTATCACAACTAGCATATTGTGGAGCTCAACAATACATGCACATAGTGAAGCTACATTTATGCCCAGAAGCAAAACAACGGATGTATGATGTCATAATAGGAATACAAGTTGAGTGAATATGCTACTGGAATTTTAACTGTAGTACCAAGTTCAAAGTGAATGCTTACATTTTATAAAATTTGTTTGTACATTTTTAATGGAAATGATAATCTACTATCATTTAATTTCACGTTTTTCCAGACTGTTAGCCACAGTGAAGAATGTGAGAGAGTGTTTCATATATAGCGATCTTGTATAAAAGTAATTAACACAAATTTATTCAGTATTTTAGACTAAACACATTGGAAATTAATGTGTTACAGAAAGCTTAACTGTTTTACTACATGGACCATACGTGAGAACGAGATTAACTCTGAAAGCACTCTCTGAAAAGCTAATGTAGTGGTGAATAATATGTCAGTTAACAGAACTGGTATTATACAATGTATATTATTGTATATACTGTACTTATGAACTTGGAAACCAAAAATGTTGGTATGAATCATTATAGATTAGTAAGAAAAGAATTACGTACAATGTGAATTGAAACAATGTTTTCTGATCATTTCCAAGCTAATTCAGTTTGATACAGCAATTGTGAAATTTGAATATGATGGGGTGCACCAGTTAACAGAAGTACAAAACATGTTATGTTTGAACTTCATAAACTTGCATTATTTGTAAGATTCAGATTGAGTCCCCCCCATTTCAATTGAGAATCCGAATTGTTTCAAAGGTCTTATTTGAATCATAAGTTATAGCTTACAACTGGTGATATTGTTTCAAAAATCCAACCAAATGTATCAAGAAGTGTGCACAATTAATTTAAATTAATTTTTAAAGTAAGCCTGATGATTAAATATGTTCAGATTAAACGCAGCGAAGTTGTCATTCACATCCTACTGTCAACCATATTGTTATTTTCTTTGAACATTAGTTTTGATATATTCTGGCAACACCCTATATCTAAACACGCCTACATAGATGTGTTACACAAATCTAATGGTCTTAAGCCACTCTCCTTGAATCTGAAGTACAAATGAAAAGAATACAAATTTTTTATTGCCTTTCACATCCTGCATGAGATTCATAAAAATTATTTTTCCTACCTTATCTGTCCAACATTTCTTCTATTCTGAATTCTTTACGAAGTCCACTTAATTACTACTTAAATATTCACTTGACTGTGTGAACCAAAAACCTCAGAAATCAGTACAAAATCAGCAAGATCATTAAGAGAGAGTGTAAATAATAACCCATCAAAGGAATGTCACAATATAAAATAATTAGAAAAGTTATGCCCATCTGTTGGTAATACCTGATTTACTGCACCAAGATTTTCCACAGAATTGACCCATATTTGGCATAGAAAAAAATAGTCACAGTGACCTATTTTCACATAGTTTTTGCTTAATAATCAGGAGATTAGGTATTATTTACAACTCCTGCCTCCAAATCTTCACTTTTATAATACCAAAAATTTTGCAATTCAATCTTTAAATGTATGCACATTTTTAAATATACATCTATTTTAATTGCAATCAATAACAGATATATATTTATTTAAGATTCATAAATGTTAACAAATAAGAAAGTCAATCCAATGCCATCTCCACTTTCAATACCAACTTCAGTCTAACACATAGCAATTTCCTTTATTAACATTTTCTGAATCGTTTTAATATCGAGGATGAAATATATCTTATATATTTCACTAAAAAGCAAAATTCTGGGTACGGTTAAGTGAAGAAAAAAAATCTGCTACAATAAGCTCACATTTCAGACATACCTGCAAACATCATTTCTGGAGATTTTTGCCAAATTACGCCACTGGAGATTTAATCCCGTCTACTGCGTTTGGCCCTCACACCCATTGGGCTCTCTGGCTCCTGGCCCGAGCGACCTTTCTTACTCACCTGCACTTGGGACTGTGCTGTCAACTGCAAGGAGATAGCATGTGTATTGAGTTTCTCTGAAAGCAGTAGGTCTTTAAGCCCTTTCATCTTCTGGCTGTGAAGAACCAGTCTTGGTCGATTAGATGCTGATTCCTCCTCCACTATAACTGCCTTTGCGCCCTCGCCTGCTCCTGCTGCCTCCTTTACTTCTTCTTTTATAAACACTTCTTTTGACGTACTTGGAACATGCGCTCCATTTGTTGAATTGGAACAAAGCACTGAAGTGTCCGTTGTTTCATCAACATTTCCAACAAATGGTTCTCCACCGCCTTGTAGTAAATATTCAGGATTTAAAATCTTCTCACCACACGCTGCAGTGAGAGCAGCAATACTGGGGTGCAACGATGGTTCTTCTTTCCCATCTTCTTTGGTTTCATTATGAATAACACGTGACTCTAGGCTACGAATAATATCTTGCTCACTGTTGCAATCCACTTCGCCAGCCTTTCGTGCTTTACAATAATTGTTATTATTATTGTTAAGATATTCATTACTCAGGTACTTTTGTTTGTCACAATCATCGGAAGCCTCGTCTAACGCAGCTATGACAGCATTAACATCATCTTCACTTTTTAATTTGCTTTTGCCATCAGTAGTGCCAGGAACAGTGGTATCAGAGACATTTTCACCTGTGCTTTCTGTGCCATCTTCGTTTTGACAAATTATAACAACTTGTGCTCGAACATCAGCATCGAATTTGGAGATTGTATTCACCAAGGGTTTGGCCCATCCTATATGTAACACTGGAGTGGGACTACCTTCTTCCCACTGACATATACCATCATAAAACCGAAGCAGGTAAGCAAAACATTCAGGATCTTTAAGAATAGATCTTGCACTGTGACCTGAACTAACAACTTTCATAATATGTGGAATTAATTCATTGGCGATTTCCAAGAATTCTTTGTATATTTCTTCATCATCTCGGGAATAGTTGTATCTGAAACACAAAATATTTAATTTGTTTTCTAATTTTAGTGAACATTAAAGAACTTTGTCTTAGGCATACATAATAGTTGTTATAAGCAATGAAAACATTTTGACAATGAGATAAGAATAAAGAAATATAATGGCAATACTAAAATCTGTGAAACTGTCATAACAGTACAGAGCTTTAAGCTACTATGAAGCTAATTATATAATAAAAAAGGCCGTTCAGCAGCGCTTCACTTAAAATGTCACTTAAAAAGAGTGCCTTGAATGAATAACATTAGCCTGGGATGCTTTAGTGGAAGGAGATTGTCCAGGTGATTAACCCTAATATCAGTATGTTGAATTCAAATCAGCAAACCATTTGTTGTCATCATGTCAGATTTTACAATGCAGAATGAAATGTCTAATTTTATAGAAATTGTTGGCTTTTTACCATACTATTAATCTCTAAAAAAAGTCTACACAAAATAGTGCAATATTTTTTCTTCTCAGAATCGATCCTTCCATGCCAAAGCAATCTATAGCAGTACATGAATTTTCCATGGAATGTAAAGACAATGTAACGTAGTTCTAACTGCTGTTTGTTACCAATTATCATTTTTGTTATTCTTATACAATTCTGATATTTCAATAAGATATTTCAATATTTCGATATTCAAATAAGATTGTATTAATTTCCACATCCACATCAGCCATTGTAATTATTTCCAAAACCACATCAAACAATTGAAATCCCAAACAGAACACTTATGTACATGTTTATATCGCATGAAAACTTATGTACAAACAGAAGTCAAAGGAACTTCGTTTAATTTTTATATAATATACAATTTGAATTTTAACAATTAACTATAAACTTTCAGAAGTTTAGAATGAACATATTTGATAATTCTATATTATGTTTATTTAAAAGCATGGTGAAACATAAGAATATCTATAAAATTGGAAATTGCATCCCAAATTGAAAATGTGGTGCTACCACAGACATACTTTGTGGTATTTGTAATGGCTATGCAATAATTAGCTACTACTTGGACCTGCAAAAGTGTTTCCAACCAATAAACATTTTTGAACTGTGCCACGATTCAAATTCAGGTCCTCCAAGTCAACAGATCAAGAACATTAGTCACCCAACGCAATCACTTAGGAATGCTCACTTTCCCTGATGCTTAAAAACTAAACCTCTACCATATTTCTAACTTATGAACTTTTTGAAAATTCGTAAAGTTCAACAATATCACCATGGTTGCTAACGACCTAGATGTTGATGCGACCTTAAATAAATTAATAAATAAATAAAATAAAAAAAACAACCAAAAACAATAAGACCTGCACCATTTTCAAGCATTCTTTGCTATATCTGTGGAAAGAATTTAATGAAAGAATTTTGAGAAGTTTCTGAGAAAACATTGTTCAAAAAATAAATTGTATTAATTTCGAGCAGAACTTACATGAAAATTATTTGTTTTTCAAAAAACTTGTACATAAACTTTATATAAGATCTTGTTTTTTCGGACAAATTTCATTTAAAACCAATCTCTATCTTATATAGTACTTTCTCAATGTTAATATTTCCCATTTTTCGAAAATACAGTGTGTTGGCTGAAAATGGGACCAGTATTGTTTTCAGTTGTTTTTTTTCACCATCCTTTGCTTCTTACAGGGAGAAAAATATAAAGAAAAAATTTAGAGCCGATGAGAAAATAATTGTTAAATTGAAAATAATTGCCTATACTTCATGCAAAATTATGCGAAAACTGAAACAATTTTAAAATCTGGTTATTGGATTCACAAATCTAATAGAGATTATGTAACTTGTGTATTGCAGGTAAAGACATAAATATTACATTAGTCAACGCTGACCTACAGATGTTCAGTCCTTCGAAAAGAAATATTTTAGAACTATTCCACTCGTGAAATTAAAACCAATAGTGATTAACTATACTTAAAAAATGCCCCAATCAGGGCGGTGTATCTCAAAAAGTTTATCGCTTTTACTATCCAATTTTTCTTACCGCTTCTCCCATCAAGCCAATCACAAACTCTGACTAGTCTGTCTTAAAGAGATGGTATACATCGATCACTATGTTGATGTCCACTAAACTGCCTATGCTTTATAACATAACCTCTTTGATTTCACATAGCTTTCAGTTATTTTCAATAGTTGGTGCATTTTGGGACTCTGTTAGACACAATTTCACATGTGGAATAGTCCTATTAATACCACATGTGCTTTGGAAATTCTCAGATAAAACCCCCTCCTAGCTTTGCAAGTGGGGGATTTATCAACAATTTCCACACTACTCATGGTATTGCCTATGATAAACCGCAGATATCATTAGATCAAATACCTAAGAGTGGCATGATAATAATAATAATAATAATAATAATCCCTGGAGATTTTAATGTACAGCTAGAGAAATCAGATATTTTCTCTAAAGCAACCAGTCAATACACTTTGCACAATATACCAATGCAAATGGTGAATTTTTATGTGATCTTGCAGAGGGTTATGATCTAATTATAACAAGTATGGACTTCTAGCATCAAGCCACATATGGAGGAACATGGCTGTCCCTTTTAGAGGATTGTGAACCACACAGATCATGTATTGATAAAAAGAAACAAAAAAGACTTAAGATGTTAGATCTCTTCAGGAACCATTGATAAAATTGATTCTGACCATTGTGATTTTACAGTTATTGTAAAACAAAAACATACCAATAGACTACCAATCAAAATTTGAAAACCCTAAAAGAATATAGCAAAAATGAAAGATTCAGGGAAGACAAAGGAGTACAAACAAATTCTCTTTGAAAATCTTAAAAATTGCAAAGAGTATGTAGAAATACGTAAGGAATGGGAGAACCTTAAACAGAAAATCTGTGAAACACCTAAAGAGGTAATAAGAGAAGATAATTGAATGGAAAAGAAAAATGAATGTTGAATGGGAAAATGAATGCAGGGAAGCTGTTTCATGGAAAACAATGCAAGAAACGGAGAGAGGAGAGGGAGGGCATTGTTAAATGTGGTATTTATAAAATACTTGCAATACTATTAAAAATCAGGCTAACAGAAATCGTAGAAATTAAATTGAGTGATAGTAAATATGTTTTCTGACCAAACAGACCACCAGAACATAATATATTTTTTATCAGACGGTTATATGTGAAAAGCCATGAACATGGAATAGAACTGTATAATAAGTTTATGGATTTTGAATAAGCCTTTGACTGACTTATGAAAAATAAAATAATTGAAAGTTTGAGAAAATTCAAAATACCCAATAAATTAATAAATCTAAAAAAGACAACAATGACCAATACTAACATCTAGAGTACGAGTAACAAATTGAGAAATTAATTCCAAGTCGAATTAGGGTGAAACCGTGAGATTCATTATCCGCAAATCTGTTTTGTATTACAATAGATGTAATTTTAGGCCAAACTGATGCATAAGGCTGACATTAAGTCTAGCATATGTAGACCATTTGCTGATAACAGCACAGACAAGAAATATATTCATGGAAATTAAACGAACAGTAGCACAATATCGGCTTAAAATCAATAATCAGAAAACTAAATTTCGGAAGTGGAAAGTAGGTGCACATACAATTGAGAATACTACAATAGATAAAATGTACTACCAGGAAGTCAGATCCTTCACTTATCATGTCTTCAAGTTATACGGAGCAAACACAATAGAAGAAATTAGATAAAGAATAACAGCAGCATATTTCACACACAAAGAATTATTCACAACAGGCTGTTTTAAAAGGGAGGAAAACTGAGACTGTACCAAGCAGCTGAGATGTGGACAATAAAAGAATATGATATGCAACAAATGTTAATGTTTGAAAGAAAATTAACGAGAAGAATCAATGTACAAGTAAAGAACATTGTAGGTACCCAGAGAATCAGGTATAACTTTGAAATGCATGATTTAATTAAGAATAAAACAATTGCAGTAAAGCTCTAAGGCTAAGTTAGCTGTGACCTCTTTGCCAAATGGACAAAAGCAGTGAAGTAAAAAAATTTTAAATCAAAAGTTAGATGGAACAACGATGTGTTGAATGACATTAAAAGATTGGATATTAAGAATTGGACATCCCTAGTATAAGATCCAAAGAAATGGAGAACAGTCGTAGAGAAGGCCAAAATGCTCAATTTTAACATGCATCTCTAAGCGTATATCAGCCATTGCTTCAAAAAGGTTACTATATAATGTGATAAATAAAATTAACTAATTAAGAAAGGTGTGATACTAAGCAAAGGGGCTCTGCGCAAAATGCGCGGGATTCGCAATCGTGAGGTCTGGGTTCGATCTGGCCGGCTATTCGTCGTTGCCCCTCGGTCACAAGGCGAATCCTGGGATGGTACCAAAAGCCCACGAATACGTCCCACTTCCCACTACCCCACCTAGCACCACCTACCATCATCCTAGTCTTTTCACGCCTCATCATCACCATATAATAATAATAATAGTAATAATAGTAATAACAATAGTAATAATAATAGTAATAACAATAAACTCTTAAAAACTCAACTCTCTGCTAGAAACCTTGTGCAAGTCATCAATTCATTTGTTATTCCAGTGCGGACATACTCCTTTGGCGTTACTAAATGTAGCAATACTGACCTCAACCACCTCAAGAGAACAACTTGAATATAACTAAGAAACTTTGAACTCAGTTGGTATTTTTTAAATATGTTCATAGAAGGAAAGGAAGTAAAGACAAGATTCCAGTTGTTCACATTACTAGTTCACCAATAATTTTTTCTATTGAAAAAATAGAAATAGAAAAAAAGGAAAGCTTTAATGCATATTTTAGCTTGGTTTTGAAGCAGAAACCTAACAGTATTCAGATACCAACACTGGCAGATAGAAGTCTTTTTCATATTGTTGTAAATACTTTGTAGAAAAGAACAAAATTAATGAAGAGAAGAAAATCATGAGGCCCAGATTATATTTCCACGGACATCACTAAATTAGGTGGAGAGGCTACCATATATAATTTGTTTATTTAATGTCTATATAAATAACACTTCCATACCAGAAAATTGGAAGATGGCTCTTGTAGTACCTGTTTTTAAAAGTGATGACAAGACAATATTTACTAATTATAGGCCTGTAAGCCTTACATCAGTCTTATGCAAACTTATAGAACATCTAATTTCTAACTATATAAGGAAAGAATGGAAGGGCAGGGAGTGGCATTATCAGGGTCAGCATGGTTTCATTCTCATGCGAAAGTCAGCTACTCCCACTTCTACGAGTCCTAGCCAACGTAGTTGACGATGGGAAAAGGGTCGACGTGATAGTAATAGATTTTGCCAAAGCTTTTGATGTTGTTCCACACAATCATATTATAAAGAAATTAATAGATTCAGGTGTAGACACTAGAGTGGTAGCATGGATAAAGGAACTACATTGAAACAGGAAACAGAAGGTCCAAATCGGAAGTTACTTATCAACCTCAAGAAACTTCACGCCAGGAATTCCACAAGGAAGTATCATCGGACCACTTATGTTTCTGGCATTCGTGAATGAATTGCCAACAAATATAGCTTCAAATGTATGACACTTTGCAGATGACTACGTAATTTATAGGATAATCAACTCAGAGAAGGACAAGGATATTTTAAAGCGAGACTTAGACAAATTTCACATCTGGGCATAAACAAACAGTTCAAAGAGCATGTCCACCACGTTTGGTAGGGGTTGAAGTTACAATGAAACTGCATACAAATTGAACAATAATGTTATACCATGACTCAAGTGTTGCAAATATTTAGGAATACAGCTAGACAGTAAATTGAGCTGGGAAAATAAAGTCAATTTCATTGTAGGGAAAGCCTGGAAATCTTTACATTTTTTTATGAGGATTCTGAAGAGTACAGTGAGACACAAAGAACTAGCATACATGTCATTAGTGCGACCCATATTAGAATATGGCACAATATGTGGCGATCCATACAGAATTTTGTAGCCAAGGAATCTAGAAAAGGACCATCATAGAGCATTAAAATTTACTTTCAGGGGCAAGAATAAAGGAATCGCTCGAAAGAGAGATTAAAGTTACATCTCTATGCTATGTATAAAGCGTACACAAGCCTTAGAGTGTAGGATGAAATTTAAAGTCGATTAGGGAAACTGGCAGAGTGGATCACATGCTCAAAATTCAGACAAGAATTCAGAAAACGAACGTTGGGAAATATTCATTCGTGAATCGAACTATTAGAGACTGGAACGGTTTGCTTGTGGCAATCTTTGATCCCTTTCCTCAAGGCCAGAGTAAATTTGAAAATAAATTAGTTTCCTGAATGTTGATATATGTGTTATAAATAGCTTTGATATTATTCAGTGTAAGTAACTATGTCTACTTCGTAATTAAGTATTATTATTATTATTATTATTATTATTATTATTATTATTATTATTATTATTATTAATTATATGCAGTGCTGTGGCATGAAGTGCAGTGGCATTGGGAAACTGAGGGAAATGAGTGTGTAAGAAAGACATTACAGCTCAGTGCTCTGCAGTGCGGTGAAGTGAAGTGTGGTGAGATGGGAGTGCTATGACAGACTGCACGGTGAAATGTTCACATTAATTTGTAAATTTTGTAAAGTTGTTAAGTTCTGTAATGTTAAGTTGTAATGTGTAATATGTATTCTGCACCAAGTTCTCAAACTTAATTGGAGAATTAGTAATAAATCTGAATATAAATATAAAACACCAAAAACATCACCTCCATTCAAGTATTGAGCATTATACCCTTCCAAGATCACAGCATCTATACAGCTCTCAAATTGCATCACTCAGAAGATACTTCCAGGAACATTGTGGGAGAGTTAAGCAAGCAGTGTACACAGTTGACAATAACTATGGTCCTCTGAACTTGAAAAAGACTGTTCAACCAGTCACTGAAATCTAAGAGAATCTCATGGAAAGTGAAGACACTGCACAGAAGGTATCCTCATGAGCTGAGTAAACCAGAAGTCAACGTCTCTGCATCACAGGCATGGCTCTAGCATGGGTATCTCTTTCCGGAGGCAGAAGCCTTCATGATAGCTATCCAGGACCAGGTGCCAACTCTGAACTACAGAAAACACATTCACAGAGTTTCGACCATGTTGAAGTGGCAAAGTAGGTCCATCATTTATTCGCAATAAAAACAGGCTTACTCGCCACTTTTGTGCTGTATTATAAATAAGTGCCTCAGAATGTGCTTGAAAGAAGTGAGCGCACTCTCTACTGGAATCACCCCATTATCACTAACTCAATTAAGACCCAATACAACTTACATTAATAGAAATTATCAGCAGGTTTCCTTATCAATATATCAATACCCAACACCTACAACATATCAGCAAAACATCAAGAGAAGATCCAAAAAGTATACAGTGATGCAGGCAAAAGGCTAATCCCCATAATTACACGTTGATCTCTCCAGGATAGAATACAATGGGGCCTTGGAGAGAGAAATGTGTTGCATGGTCAGTAGTGGCCTATGCGCAAATAATAATAAATAATTAATAATATTTATAATAATAATATAAGAAGAAGGATGAGGAGAAGATGAAGATGAAGAAGAAGGAGACAAAGAAGAAGAAGAAGAAAAAAGAATGGTTTGTTGGTCAACCTCCAAAGAGATGGAAAGATCAGTAGCAGTAATGGGTAATATTGCCTAAGCAAGAAGAAGACTAAGAATAAAATTAATTTAAAATATTTTAACATTTTGATTATATATTTACAAAAACAGCTAAACTGTTTGCACACTGAGGAAGAAATTTGTTTGCAGTCTCCATGTGCAATGTTCAGTGAAATGATTTTGCTTTTAAATCGTTACTTGTTTGTGAACTTTGTCTCTTTACAGTTTACACACATGAGCCTTGCACAACATAGTCCAAGAATTGTTTTCTTCTCTTTTGTCCTTTCCTTACAGCTCATTCAATGAGCACACCTCTTGGAGATTCAGGAGGTCAAATTTTATTACATCTTTAAAGTTACAAAGATCTAGCACCAAAATATATATTTTCCCAGGTATTCCCTTTGTCTGTTGTTTCCCCCCCCCCTGAAAATGTTCCCCAAATATTTGTGAACAATGAAGAAACATTTCAAACCATAAACAATACACCACAATTCATGAATAATATGCAATGGAAAAGTTGAAAAATAATCGTTATGAAAGACAATCAGAAGATCAGATGGAAAGATTTCCTAACTAGCATTTACACAACAGGGTGGTCATTCATTTCCTGAAACAAATTTCCCTCGCCTTTCCCAGGTTTCCAGAGCAGCTATCCTGATACTAATTGGTTGGCCATCTGATTTCACTTTGACAAAATACAAATTGACAATATTTTCTTACCAAATAAAAACAGGAACAACATTTTGTTTTATAACCCTCTTAAAATTTTCCCTGACATCTAGTAAAATCTTTTATAAATTTTCTATTTGTTCCAGAAGAGAGAAGTTCCCTGGTTTTCTCCAGTTTTCCTCATGACCCATAACATCTTTAGTCTTGAATTGCAGAAATAATAATAATAATAATAATAATAATAATAATAATAATAATAATAATAATAATAATAATAAGATAATGGTTAGAAAATATCGATATACTGACTGAAGGTTTAATTCATGTAGAGATAAGAGTATTTAAATAATGTTGACATGTACACTATGTAAAAAGTAGAGATTTTTACATCTTATTTGTTGGAACCAATTTCAAGTTATAAAAACAAGGGTTCTCTTAAAACCAATTATTGTACTCAAGTGACAGTAATATTACTTATTCACTGTTGAAATGTACTGACATTGGTTCATACCAATAATTAAAATTTTAACAAGAGATTACAGATATCAATTAAAAACAAGTGCACAATGATTTTTTTCTTAAGGCACAAGAAAAGTACTAAAATATATTCTATATTTTAAATACTTTTGGGGAATCAGAATTGATCTAATTACACTTACAGCCTGATAACATCAGCAGCATTGGCCCAACTTTCAAATGCTTCCTTATAGAGTTTGTGTCGGTAAAAATAGCCTCCTTGATATGTGTACGGGTACACATGTTGGTTTCGGTAATATGTACGAGCAGATGTAGCAGCTTCTTGAAAGAGTGCAGCACATGGTGGTCGTCCTGGTGATGGACTCACTTCTTCTAAATCACTTAAATTACCTGCAAGCAATACAATGCATTGGTGAAAGTTTCACATAACCTTTGTTTAGCTCGTTTGTTCTATGTAACTGATGATGTTTACTGCAGAGGTCTAAAAAATCCATATCAGCCTGGAGTTTGGCCACACTCCTCTTACTAAACAGTCTAGTAATAAATATTATTTATATCAATCATGTGTTATATTGATATTGCTTGAAGAATGCTTTTTTGTCAAGTTTTTTATTTTAATGCCATGATATAAGCCCTTTATCTATTGTGACTGTTCCACCACGATACCCTTTAAACATGTCTAATTTTTGCATTAAATTGCAAAAATTATAATAGCATTTTTTGAGATAAAAGATTACTCACCACATTCACATCCAAAAAAAATTAACATGAAAATAAATCTAAAATCAATTAATTATAGACCTTTTTTTTATTTAGAAAAATGCTGAACATTTTCACCCTTGATACTCGAAGGAAATGTATCATTTATACCGATTCAGATTTCAGTCACACTAAACAACGTGGAAGTAAATTTAGAGTTAATACTTGGACATTTTTTGTTTCTACAATTGCAACTAAAATTATTTAATTAGATATTTTGTGGATGTTTCAGCTATGAATTCACAGGTCAAAATTGTTTTTCCGTATCATTATTTTTAACAATTCTTACAATTTTGGCAAGGTTCAGATGTTTAAATCTATATTAAGTTCACATATATTTTATGAAGTTAAAAATAATATATAAAGCTATAAAGTTAATGTAAATAAATAAAGCAACTGCCATTTAAAGGTTTGGGGAGGAAGTGTAATAAGTGAATACGTTTCAAGATGTTCACAGAAGAGTGGGACTCATACGTAATGCTCTGTGCTTTTCCAGTCATTCATCAACTACAATTCTACTGGGAGGAAGCCAGAAAATTATGTCCATTAAAGCCACATGTATGAAATTATAGGCTCCATCAATTAATCACCACTGTACGTTTCAGTGTAATCTATAAAGAATATTGAATGAAACAGTGTGTCTTTCAATTAATTGAAATACTGAAGATAACTTAAGCTGGAGAAATAAATTAAAACCATACTAATTAGATTAGTCTTAAAAATAATATTTACCTCAATATCAATAATCACAATAAATCATTTAATAACATTCCACACCAATAAATTTCATACCATACATTTACAGAGAAAAATGATGTCAACAGAATTTATTAATTTAACTCTATTATTAACTAAATCATGGAGTAAAATTAAAATTTACACCGTGTAAATAGATGTCAATGAAAAAATTTAATATAGTTTTAACCACAATAAACAAAAATTGACTCCTGCAATGATCAAGAAATGACTTCAATGGGCCAAGTTGCACAAAAGATGGATAACAGTGCGTATGTGATATTATATAATTCCAAGGGTTAATAAAAAGCATTTTTGGAAATCAGAAAAATCAGATTTTTTTATTTTTACGAGATTTTTATTTAAATTTCAATATTCACGTTAGGTAAAATTTTTAGTTAACTGAAGAAAGAAACACAAAAATTGAAGAGCTCAGTAGAACAATAGGGCTATCCCACATTGACCTAGTTCTGAGATATTAAGGATTTTACTAAAACTTCCATAAAATAACTCGGAAATCACGGATCAGTAAAACCTTCCTTGAATACTTTTTTATACATATCAAGGCAACTTGCTGCAAATAATTGGAAAAAATATTAACATCTCATTAATTTTTTTGGTGCTTACAATTTTTTTTGTTTCACTAACATTGGTTCTGTCCCTTAAATACCCTCTCTTGCAAGAAAAAGATTTAATTAGTCCAAATAAACATGCATTTTGAGTATTATCATCATCCAGTTTATAAAAATCACAAATCACAGTATCATTTTCATCAATTGGAATTGATGCAGTGACACCGTTCTTCCCGGCAAGGGTATTTTTTTTTTAATACTATATGTCAAAACAGTTAAAAACTGTGTGTGATGTGCTACAGGGAGAAGCAAAATCTGTACACATTTTCATAACTGTGATCCACACCCTAGCCGTATACTAGCTGAAATATTTTTGGAATACAGAAAGAAATAAGAGATTTTTGCAAGGATTGTTAACAAAATATTTGCTTCGATGTAATAAAATCAATTTTCATGGGTAACTTAGCTATAAATTTAAACCCTTATCCTTTATGAGGAATAATACATCCTGTCGTTACATGGAGAATGATAATTTGAACAAGTATATTTCACATTGAATTTTAGAAGATGTGCACAGATAATGAAGTTACATTTATATCCAGAAGCAAAACAAGGGGCCATCTCAGCATTTGCTCAAAGGATCAGGGAAAATGGACAAAAAAAACCAAATCTAGATGGGGTCATTGACCCAGAAATTACAGGTTGGAAGTTACAGGTACAATACTTGTTACAGGTAGTTTAGAATTATACAGTCCAAATGGTAAATACGAGATTAAATATTATTGTTAAAATTTATGTTACTTTTCTTCTGATGCTCAGTATATTCTCTAATTGTATGGAACAGTTACGCAGCACAAAAGATTTTACTTGGGACCGACTTAAATTTTTCTATCGAATTTAATCGGTTAATGTCATCTAGTTAAGCGTTGTAAAATAATGTGCATGTATTGCACATGAATTTTTTAGTTAGCTCTTGATACTGTCACCTGATAAATATAATTAATACCTCAGGAGTTATAGTTATAGACATCTGTGTTTGCTGAAAGTATATCCCTGCCCTGAAGAAAATCATTACTGACAAAAACCACTGGTTCGTAAACCAAGAGACAAGGTAATGGTAATATTCCTAGATTAATAAGAGAGACTTACATGAATTGCATGAGTGAAGTTTCCTTATTATTCATGCAATTCTTTTTTGTAAACTAAAAGTCTGAGAGCTATCAGATGTATTTCCCCAGAATATTATGCCATATCTCACATGGGCATGAATATTAGCAAAATATACACGAGCAGTATGAAAACTGACTGAATTTGAAAGAATCCTGAAAGTGTAGTATAATGAAATTAATTTTGTGTTAAATTCATTTAAATGGATGTTTCATTTGAGGTTTGACTGAATTGAAAGACCTAAAAATGTTACTAGCTTAACAACAGTCAATGGCACACCATTCATTTTCAATGGAATACACAATTGTTTATTTGAAATGAAAAACTGCATTAAAACCATTTACTATTAATTTGTTATTATGGAACCAATTTGAAACATATTGTACTATTGTACTAGCTTGCCTTATGACTTTTCTTGACAATGATTTACATTTTTTAAAGAAGAGGAGGAAATCTTGAGATACGTTATGATACTAGAAATGAAAGAAAAAATTTGTTTGTTTTTACATGATGTCTAATCCCTTGTGTTATCTAATAATTGCTTTGGTGTGGAATATTTAATTCCCTTTCTTGAAAAGGAAAGCAAGTGTTAAAATGAAATATAAGCATTGAAAAAAATAAGTATATCTGTCATGTATCAACAGTATTGTAAACCTCGTCTAATGACAAATGCAGCAAGTAATCCATGAGTTATTTTATTTTTCTTTTAGTAAACAATCTACTCATTCATGTACTATTTATTATGTCAGAGTTTGCACTTCTTGTAATGGTGAAAATTTATGCATCATGGTCACTGTATCCTGAATCTCCTGTTTCAATTTCATATCGAGTAGTGGTTTTGTTAGATACAATTTGATCGATTGCCTTCTTTGAATTTACAGTGATCAGTGTAGGTACATTTATTGTAATATTTAAACTGAAGGACTTAATTAAATTGAGAAACTGCTTTTTCTAGCTAGATTCAACCAGAAAATCAATGTTAAAATCTCCACATACAACAATGGATTCAAAAGAGCAATTGCTCACTTTATTAAGTGTTATTTCCAGTTTTTCTAAGAACAAAATATAATCTGCAGCTCTCTCTGTTGGAAGTCTGTAGACACAAAGTAATATCATTTTTAGCATAGGAAGATGTACAACAGAAATTTCAAAAACATTTTCATGTCAATAAATGTTGGGTTAACGTTATCATGTACTTTGGCTGGTACAAACTTTGGTTTTTTAAAAATATATTCTTCTCTACTATTCCTCATCTTCTTTCTATTTTCTTCTTGGTTTTCTGGATATATTCTCCTTTTGTATGAGCTTCAAATTTTTAATCATTCTTTGTAAAATATATAATAAATTATATTTTTGATTTAAATCTATGATTTTTTTGTGAATTGTGTGATTTAAATCATTGAAACCCTGATAATTCCTAAATAAAATTTTATTCTTCCCCGACTTTAGAATTGATGTGAGGTAAATAGGTCTACTGTTTAATGTTCAGTCTACTCTTTTAATGTTCAGATAAATTACATCTACTGTTTTAATGTTCAGATAAATAAAATGTTTTTACAAAATTTTATTCAGGTAGTATTTAGCAATGAAACCATAATCTGTGCTAAGGACGATAGCTGTTGATATGTTAGAAGATGGCCACGGGAAGCCTTCATGAAAGAATGTATGAAGCAACTAGTAAAGTTTCCCATTAAAGAGATGATTTGTGGGATTGTTTCATGGTATGGATCAGGCAAAATTCAATACAATAAAAGCCAATATCAATACAGAACAATATAAAGAGGTCATCAGAGACTGCTTTGCTCTGGCAAGGACTGAGAGGTTTCAACTGGAGATGGTGCACAATGGTGCTCTTGGTCACCAATCAAAAACTGAAGAGTGAATTAGATTCTAGTGATATTGGTGTTTGACAGGTCGGGAAAGAGCCTGGATATGAATCCAATAGAATCATTATAGAATGTTCTTAAAATGAAAGTCACGGCAAAACATCTTATACCAAAGGAGCATGGAGAACATTATTACCATTTAGAATGAAAAGAAAGTGAGAAAGTACTCTGGACTGAGATGCATTTGTGCCTTAAATATCAACATTACAAATATAATAAAACAGACAACCCTACATAAACAAGAAACCTCCCAAAACCAGAATTCATTTTC